TTCAGGATATTAAATATCCTAGTATCCACAATCGCCATAATTATTTTATGAAAACCATTTTTGGATGGTGAATATTTTCACATATTTTTATGTATAGAGGTAAATAGTGTTATAATTAATATCATGGGAACAGCTTGAATATTTTTTCTCCAAAAAAATAAGTATATACATTAATTGTTTAAGGATAACATTTTAATTAAAATAAATTTCATCTCGGGTTTTATATACATATTTCATTTACATTCATGGATGTATAGGTAGATTGAACATTATCGCTCTAACAATATTAATTTCATTGTTATCAATCATTATTACAAAGAACATAGGCCATATATGAATTCCAACACCTTGAAAAATATCCTTGGATAATGAGAATGGTGAAAATTTCTTTTTTTATCATATTTATTCACACTCAAGTACCTGTATATATACTATTAAGTAATAAAATGAATGTGAAACTAATTTATAACACTATTCATTTAGTATTTTAATAATGTAAGGGGGAAGTTCTTAATTTTCTTTTTTAACCGCAGTATAATTTTCTTGGATTTTCATTTCATTATATTAAATTTTAGTAAAAAAAATGATTTGGGGAAAAAAATTCCGATTAAGTAGAAGGAGAACGGACAAATCAATTTTTCTTTTGCGCTTCAAAATATCTTTAATGCAAGGCAATAGTTTTAGGGATTTAGAAAATTGGAAAATATTAAAATTGAATTGGCGTAAATTACCAAAATTAATAGTTAAGTAGAATTTTGAAAATTGTTTTGCAATTGAAAAGTATGGCATTTTTAAGTTAGGTTGGGTTATCGCGGCCGCCTCGGAATGGTACGCATAGGCCAACTAGCCGGATCTCTAGCTTTTCCGTTCCTCACTCAAATCAGCCCGAGCTCCTCAAAAATCGGCTCAAATTCTTAATTGGGCCGAACGCGAGCATGAAAAGTGGGTTATCGTTTCTCCTTTTCCTCTTCGTCACATTTTGTAGTTAAAATTTGGAAAATTTGTTAAATACTTGCAAATTATTCGCAACTTTGTCATTTAAAAAACCAAATATGAAAAACTAATTTCAACTAATTAAGGAATTTAAAGTAAAAATCATCGTGCATTGTGCGCATAAGTGACATGTAAATAATTTTGCTATTCAATGCTATTGGAACGCAAAAAATCGATTTTATTGACAAAATACACTTTTGTTGCTGCATTTTAATATTACCCTGGCAGTAGCGCGTGTCTTTTCAAAATTCCTTGTATCCTTTTAAAATGATAAAGGTCTGATGACTTAAAGCACAATTTTATATACTCCCCCTGCCTCCTCTCAAAAAGTTTTAAGTTCCTAAATGGTTAAATTGGCAACCGTTGCAAATTCCGACAAAAATTCTTCTGCTGTCCAATATCAAAAATTAATATAAACAAACGTCACTTTCACACAAAATAGCTGTTCAAATTATCTGTTATTGGAATCTCATCCTAGAGATATGCAATAATATGAAATTTTTTTTTTAAATGATTTTTTAATTGTTGAGAGAAAATGTGCAATTCTATACAGACCATTTAATTTCATCCCAAATTATTTATTAAATTTTTTTTAATTACATTTTTAGAATAATTAAAAATTTTTTTAAATTTAAATTAAAAAGTAAATTGCAGAATAAAACAAAACTAAATTTTTATTTCGATTTTCGAATATAATTAAAATTGAAGTAAAACAACAACAAAAACGAAAAAAATATCGACTCCAATAAAAGTTCATCATTTTACATATAGAGTAAAGGACATTAAAAAGGATTTTTATTTTTATATACAAAAATCCATCTAATTCACTTATAAATGATTAAAAAAACATAAAATTTAATTACAAATTTTATCCGATTAAATTTTAATTTCAAAGGGAACAAACAGAAAATATGAAAAAAATTGTTCATTAAAAATTAATAACGCACAAAAATATGCTGAAAAATTAAAGGTAAGCTTTTAACAGTACAACCTTGTATCACTCCGATAGAAGATTAAAGGATTAAGAATATTATGTTTGTTTTTTTTTTTGTCAAATAATCCTTTGATATTTCGTATTAAATTTATAAAAGTAAGATTAATTCTTTACGTATTGATTTTCAGTAACAAATCCTGTTTAATGTTTAGTAAAACAATTTAAATACTGTCGGCACAATTCAAAGGGAAAAGAGAATTATGCACTCCGATTTAATTTTTATGCTCATAAGCTCGTAGCAAAATGGTTTTCTGAAAAAGTAAATTTTTGCACAAAGTGAATTTCCTAAATTGTCATATGATCGAGTGCAAATGTAGAGTTTTCGGACACTTGTGCAAATAAAGAATGTTCTGAGTATCAAGGCATAGTAACGCTAACTATAAATGAAACAATCTGATGTAGTCAGCACATAACCGACCGCATTATGTATTTAAGTTAAAGTGTTACAGAATATTGTAAAAATTTCCAGAGATTCCATCAATTCGTTCCGTAGATATGGTAAAAAATGTAAAATCGGCCCCTGGTTTGATTTCCGAGCCCCGATCGTTCTAAAAAATAATAGATTCATTGCTTTAACATTCAACATTTAAATATTAAATTTCAAGGAAATTGGTTGATTGTTTCTCTTTATATGGGTAAAAATTTGAAATTAACTTAAATAATTTATCCCAAAAGTTGATCTATCCACGACATAGCCAAAAAAAACTCACACATAAAATTTTATGAAAATCGGTTTAGCCGGACACTCGTGCACACACAGACATACGGACCAACAGGCTGCTAAAATTAGTTTATTTACACTTTCCTACTATGGAGAAATGCGTTCCCACCGAAAGTTGTTTGATGCTATCACACAACTTCCCGTATTGTATGCAATTACTTTCTCAATTTTTTGTAAAATTACTCATTAGTCACCAGACTGGCGCTGGTGCTAGGATGCTTTTGGTTAAAAAGATCTCTACATCTATTGTAGTATAAAACTCTGAGATTCTCACACATTTCTGTGAGTTCCTGAGCTTGATGTAGTGTTGAAAAACAATTTTAGTTTACTCTCTGACTTTGTTGTCATAAGGTCTATTGTGCTAATGCGGTCGTATTAGAGATATTGCCTACACCTTCTGTTAACTAACTTATTGTTAGTAAATTTCATTGAGAATAAGTTGCTACTTTTATTGTTCAATATTATCTTTTTGCTTTGTGGGTAAAAACTTCCGGCACGTGGTGAAATTTTAATTAAATATATTAGCCTAGATTGTAGATTTTAAGGGAACCGAGTGGGACAAGAGTAACCCCCCAAGCCACTGCAGCCATTCTTGACTTATTGTAGCCCCCCCCCCCAACCTTCCGCCTATAATATCACCGTCCCAACCACAAAGCCGGAGATATCCCTGAGGGAGTTGGACAGCAGTTCCCGAACATTTAGTGGCCCATGTCCAAGACAATTGCGGCGCCGAACAGCCAGTGCCGGACAGTCATAGGGAATATGCACGGCGGTCACATCGCCACCTCCACAAAATCTGCACAGGGGTGAGCCCGCCTATAATGCCTATGTGCAATGTTACTTATCCTTCATTTAAATTCGACAAAGTGTTCATACTTATGCTCTTAAAATAAATTTCATTTACAAGTTAAAGAGTTTGAATTTGGGGAAACATCGTTCGATAACCTTCAATGTAAAAAAATATTCACATTTCTTAATATTTCAATTTACTTCTTTTACCCACATTTCTTAATATTTAAAAAAAAATATTCCTTTGATTTTCAAATTTTGATTTAAATTATTAAAAATCTTTAAAAAACAACTTTTTAATTAGTAATTTTTTAATTTTTTGATCTACATAATGCTCAAGAAGTATATTTTAAATTTATGGTTTCGTTTACCATTTTGAAATAGATTGTTTGATTTATTTACGTTGATCCTTACAACAGACTCCTTTTTAAAATTAAAATCAGGGGTCTGAATGTAGGTTGCTCATAAAAAGTGAGTTCTAGAATTCACAAACAACACCCTAAAACATAAGGGTAATTGGTTATTCTACAATTTTGGTTGTCAATCCCCAATTCATGACTTTGAACAAAGTAATCGTATTAGCGAAATTACTACATAGAAATCACTAGAATTAGATAGATATGTTAAGTGTTAACTAGAAATTCTAAAAACATAATAGATCAATTTTTTTTCTATAACGCAGTAAATGATTGTACAGCTCGTGTTGTAACGTTGAATTATGAATCCTGTAATTTATGTAATTTTTTTTTTTGGATAGGGAATCAACGTTTAAAAGTAATTTTTTAATATTCAAAATAATTTGAAAAATTCGGAAAAAGGATTCATAATTTTTATGAATTTTACAAAGTTTTAAAAATATTTTTTTTTTACTTTTTATTTCATTTAATTTTCTAAACGATTGAATAAAAATTTTATAAATCCTTTGGGGCAAAAAATGAAAGAAAATAAAAAATTGTTATAAAAACTCTAAAACGTGTAAGAAATCATAAATCAAGAGAGAAATAAAAAAATAAAAATTTTATGCAAATAATGGCCGCCAAAAATTTGTAAATTCTTTTACCTTTTTTTTTTAGTAAAGCAATCTTAGTTTTTCCTTTTCAAAATTGTTTTTCAATGTCACTTGAAATGGGTCTTGATATTATTGAATGAAAAGAGTAAATTTCAAATTTAAATAATTTAGGTGTTATGCGCCCAAAAATATGCAATTTTTTTGATATTCTTGGACTGCAGACGAAATTGAGGAACATTTTCTTCAATATAAATGAGGAAATTTTTGCATAATTATTTTGTAAACTTTTTTGTGAAAAATAATTTATTTACAAATTTTGTATAAGTTTTCTGAAATACAGGCGCTCATTAATATTTTACTAAAATTTTTGTTTTTACAACATTTCACTGACGAAATTTTGAATATCATTTTTGTATTAAAATTGTACTCATACAACCACACAATCTTTTAGGTGTATTACTGAATGTTTAACAATTTCTTTTCTTTTTTTCCAGGACAAATCACATAAATAAATCAACAAAATGTCAATTTCAGATTTCCGTAGAAAGAAGCTTTTATACGTTTTCCACGTCTTCTTTGGTAAGTCATAAATATTATTTTTGTTCTGTTAGTCCTATATATAGTCCTATAACTACATTATAGTACATTATCACTTTCGAACTAAATTTAATAGTACTATGTGAGGTTCATGTGCTAAATTTTAGATTTTAATAAAAAATTTAGGTGGAAAATTGAAAAAGAAGTCTCAGAAGAGTCAGGTTTTTAGACCAAGTCATTGTAATCATAAAGAGTTCTTGTAATACTCCACCGCTACCCAAGAATTCTGCTGTAGCTTTAACTGCCATATAGGTTTTAAAATAATAATTTCGGTATAGATCGTGTTCGGTTTATTGCAGTTTTGTAGCAGGTCAACTGCTTCATCACCAATTTAAAATACCTTACATGAGAGCTTTTAGCAATTATATGAAACTTTAAAATACTTTTAGAACAGCAAATTTTTATATTTTGTTCAATTCAATTTTAAACAAAACTTTGATACCTGAAATTTTGTTAACTAATTTAACCAATTTATGTCAACTTTTCTAAAAATTCAAATCTCGCTTTATAATAAATTCTATTTTTTATTCTTTATTCATTATAATAAATTAAATGTGATCTAATAGTGCATATAGCGTTAAAAAAATTATTTTTTTTAAATTTCTTTCATTTCCTATACTGAATGACCACATTAAAAAAAAATGTGAAACTAACAACCATCTACAAAAAATACACACCTTTGTTCACAGTTTTTTTTGCGTGTCCACATACGTGCACATGCATTGTTAATGTATATTTAAACACCAAACATACATATGTAGAGCGGATATCCTGATTCTATGTGAATGATTGTAAATTTTGTATCCATCGTTTCGTATCAATAATCGCATATGATAGAAAAATCTCATTAGAGTTTCTCATTAGATATTTTAATGCAAGTAAACGGTCAATTTCATCATATGTGAAATTAAAGGATTTTATAAAAAAGTTTTTGAGCTTTTGCACGGAAAAAGGAATTTTAAATGGTTAGTTTTGTAATTATTTATTCATGTACTTTCACATTTTAACAGAATTAATAAACGGATGCAGGTGCTAAGAGCATTATATTTATTATTCCATATTATGTACGTTTACAGATGAGGTTTTGTAATACTCAAAAGTTTTTTATGGTATATTGATGACACGAAGGCAATGCAAGTACACTAAAGTTTGAAGGCTTGAATTTCATTCTGGCAATGAGTAGATTTTTTGTTTCTTATGCCCTTTTCCCAATACAACGAATAACATATTGTTCTAGAATTGTCAAACTGAAACATTTTTTCCCATTGTGAATGAACTATTTTTGGGGTTTTTTCTCAAATCAAAGGAAATTTTGAAAGAAACTTCAAAAAAATTAAAAAAAAATTGAATTTCATAATAATTTTTAGTAAATTGAAGTCTAATAATATTTCAGTATACAAAAATATTCTTTCAAAATTTTCAATAAACAAAATGTTACCAAAACAATTTTACTGTCAAATGTAAACAGCTTAATGTAGTGCGAATCCAATATTCTATAACATGTTAATCGAACAGTATAACATGTTATTCTCCTGTCTGTATAGGTATATAATTATACCTTCCGCTCTCTTTAAAAATTCTTTCTACACTCTTACTCATTTATGTTTCATTTGATGAGTACGCACTTTTTTAAAAAAAAAAAAATTTTGACTGTCATTTTCTTTTAATGTCAATTTCAAAAATTAAAATATAGTATAAAAATTTAATTAAAAATTAAAATTTTCACTTCTTTTTTTTCTATAAAGATGTCAATCAAAGCGGAGAGATCGACTTAGATGATTTCAAATTGGCTATTGAAGTAAGAAATATTAAATTTATTTTTAATATTTTCAAAATATAATAAAATTTTTTTTTAATATTTTATAGAAAGTATGTTCCTTAAGAGGCTGGGGATCAGGACATCCAAAAAATGCAGAAACACATGATATTATGTTAAGAATTTGGGAAGGTTTACGATCAAAAGCAGATAGAGATGGTGACGGCCAGGTATGTTCAATTGTTTGTAAAAAATATACATATGTATTTAAAATATTTCAGCCAAAATTTTATAAAATTCTTGTACCAGAATTGATTCATGTAAGTCAAGTTTTACTGCTTGGAATTCTTTATGACTTCTTTCTTAGAGTAATTATACATAATAGTGTAAAAATATTTTATTCCATATTTGAATTAATTAAAGGAAAAGAATTTCAGAAATTATTATTCCCGATTTATAAAGTAATATAAACAAGAAGGAGCAAATTTCCCTACGAACTCTTTTTAGTTGGGAAGTTTCAAGACAAACCGTATTTGTAGAATTGAGAAATGTAATAATGTTTTAATTCAAAATTGAAAACACTTGTCCAGTAAACTTTTTGTAACAATTAAATTTTAATAATCAAAATCGTTCAAAACTAGGATTAGTGTGGTCTGATTAGCATGGATTCCTTCAAGGATCCATGGGAGGAGCTAAAATTCAGATTCAGATTGAAAATAGTCTATTTCTCAAATATCCATTACAATTTCGAAGCTAATGATACTAGAGTGGTCCATGAAACGGCAACATCAATATTTGAGATTAGCCTAGTCGTTTTCGAGTAAGAGTGGCTTAAATACGAAGTTTGGGTTAAAATGCTGGAAATTTTTTTAAAAAATTTTCAACTTTTTTTTTATTGCGTTACATCTTCCTTTATGCAACTTGGTCTTATATATTTTCATGTAGCTTTGCATACATCATCCTGTTTAGTAGTTTATATTGTGTTTGCTGAAATTTTTGAAATTCTTTTCGATAAATCCTGATAACTACAATATGTATAAAAAATAGGAAGTTATAAATAATTCAAGCATTTGATTTTTCGCTTACTAAAGTATTGTTCAAGAAAACAATTTTTTAACAGTCTCTTTTATTATTTTTCTATGTTTCAAAAACAGAAATTTTCCGATTAATTGAAAATCAATTTATTGAATAATTTTTACCCTTATAACATCTTCAGAATATCTATATTTGCCTTTGTACGCATAAGAGAATAATAAATATAATTTTTATTGACTTTATAATAATGTCTTTAGTTTGCCTATAGTCCCCAAAGCTATTGGCTGTGATAAATATAATAATGGAGCATAAGGGGATAGAAAAAAAAATTTAAAAAGTCCTTTTAGATGTTCAATGTTTTAAAGCAGAATTTTTATTTTTTTTGCTGTTTGTTTTTTTTCCAACATATTTTAAAATCCCAATAACAATACGCCATTTTATTTGTAACGAATTTTTTATAAAAATTTAATATGTGGTCGGAGGCGAATTTATTTATTTTTTTTTTTTTCAGTGTATGAACAACGGTTATATTGAGATTATCTTTGTGTATATTAAAGATTTTTTAACAAATTTTTACCCTACAAACTTTAAATACCTATGTATGTATGTATATAAAGCATACACATATATGGAGCGTTTAAAAATTCTTGCAAATAGACTTGCAATTTTCCTGGTGACCTAGTTAAATTGTACAGTAAATTTTACTTTAATAAACTGGAAAAATTCAAAATTGAGTTATTGTTCGAAAATATATGTGTTTTAGGTAACGCATCGAAATTTTTTTTGAATTTAAACTGGACTAAAATTATTCTACAAGATGTTGTAATGAAGCAGTTGCTAAATAAATTTGCCCATTGCTTTAACCAGTCGAAAAAATGAAAATCATATACAATTTTTATTTCATTCAAAAATTGATGCGGTTCTGATAGTTTGCGATATAAGGAACCGTGCAGAGTTACCCAAAGAATGAATGTGTTATGAATCTTTGTACTGTTTATCACCCTTAAAACGTGTTTCGATGCCTGTACTGTTAATTAATTATCTTATAAAGATTGACTGCTCTTAATTGGGTTGCTGTTATGACGCAATTTCCCAGAAACTTTTTCTTGTGGGTCAAAGATCTTTTTTTCTTTATTTAGTTCTATCTCATCATATGACGTCCAGATATCTCAATCACCCAGATCTAATATCACCAGATAGCTCCAGAGTCGACAATCTTCTCTGAATAAAGTCTTGAGTTTTCTTTACGTGGTTGTCACTAGATATTCTCACAAATTCCTATATCGGTTTAAGCATAAAAAATTTTGTTTTCACAATTTTCAGCAGTTCCCTAAAATAAAACAAAAAAATATTTAAAAGTTTATCGTGAATTTTATCGTAATTTTTCTTCTCTATTATCCTTTTTCTTTTATTTAAAAAATATTTATTTAAAGAGTTTATTTTATTTTGGGTTTCTTTTTATTGGTAGAGGAAAATTTCTTAAAAGAATCTTAATACATGAATTCTGAAGGACAAAAGAATACCAACTAATAACAAATTGAATATTTTCAAGAGATTTTTAATATTTAAAGTTGAGCTAAGAGAACAATGCGTTTGAGTAGGGAAATTTCTTTTTGATTGCATTCGAAAATAGTAAAGTATCTGGCTATGGGTATAATAGAATAAAATGATGAAGGTATTCTAGGAAATTAGGTGTAAAAAAAAACAATCATTTATCGAAAATTTTCCATTATAAATTCTCCTTTTTTATATGAATCGTTAATTTTTGAAGAGAATGAGGAAAAGTTAAGTGTTTCTCATTTTAAGTGTTAATTTTACGTTAACATGTCTGAATTCATTAGAAGTTGAATTTAATAGCAAAATTTATTACCGAATTTCTATTCTCTGCTGTGAATGTATGCGAAAACTATTTTAGAATGACGGACATAAAATATTTTTGATTTATAATTCACTTTTGTTGTAATCACAAATTTGTGTCGCGGTTTTATAGATTTTGTACATGGAATAAGAAACGACAACCAGTAATGATGGGATTTGGCGTACCTGAGTGATTGTGTTGTCATAATCTTCTCAATATTTTTTGATTATTATTGGGACCGCCATATATTCATAAATCCACACATCAATGTATTCTCAATATTCAAATATTATGAAATTAATTGTGTTTTCTGAACGTCGTTTGTTGGTATATCTTTCAGAATCGAATAACACGATATGGTTGCCAGAATATTAAAACCTTCATTAATCAATTTTTAATATGCAACTCAGGTGTTCTATTGTTCAATGAGAAAATTTCAAATCCAATAATTTCTAAATTTCTTCTGTCTTTTTTTTTGTTTTCTGAAAATATCAAAAACTAATTTGTAACTCTATCTAATCGCGATAAAACGTTCATCTTAATTCTCCTTCTACTTAAGAATTATTATTCTACAGGTTGGAATCTAATTTTTTCCACTTCATAAATCAACGCGATTTTTACGCTTAGATTTCAGATAAGAATTTTCATTCATTTTATGATTTTTCTTTTTGTTTTTCTTCTTGTGGTAGCGGTTTTTATTAGCAGAAGACAAATTAAAATGTATTTTATGGTCCTTATGTTTCGAATTAATGGTTTCGAAGAGATTTACAAATACACAGAAAGAGAGAAAAGAATTTTTTTTTTTTTTTAATATTTTATATTAGTCTGCAATAGATAAAACCATTAGATTGAATGAAAAACAAAAAAAAAAAAACTACAAAATTACTATAATCTTTTTTTCATCCTTAATAAAATATATAGAATTACATTAAATAATAAAAGGGATCTAGACAAAAGGATACCATATTTATGCGTTTTGGGTTATGGCCGCTTCATTCCTTTTTATTAGCTGCCCATAAAATATTGTGTACACTTCAAATGAGACGAAAATGAGCACAAAAGAATTAAAAAGAGAAAAAATAAGAGAAAAATATACTCGTAAAATACAAAAAATTATTGATGTTGGAAAGCTTTTGAGAGGTTTTGACGTACGAACATAGAGAAGGGAAGAATGGCAGTTGATAGAGGCAAAAAAAGTCCTTTGTTATACATTTCTATTATCCTTCATTATATTGTGCTGTATATTTTTATGAAGTTTAATCGAAGTTTTCGTTGTTTTTTTTTTGAACTGACGAAATAAAACAATTTACGAATAATAATCGAGATTCGAAACAAATATAGACGATATAAAAGAAATGAGAGAAAAATTTACACTCGTAAATTATTGAAAGAAGGTTGCCTCCTTCTCTTCCTCCTCATCCTCCTTCTCTTTTGAATGTTGCCATGAAAAATACCTTAATAAACCTAAATTTTCTGTTCTCTTAAATTTTCTTTCTGAATTTAATTTTTTTTAAGGAAGACTTAAGGTAAAAAATTTTTCTTTTCTACTTCTCGAAAATTACAATGAAAATTATAATTTTCTTTTTTCTCAATTTCTGTTAATAACGATTTGACTACTGCTGTCCGTTGTGAAAAAATCTTTTCATCCTAGATTCAATAATTTTTAAAATTATTTTTTTTTTTTGAAAACTTGAAATTGAAAATTCTTTATTCAAAAGAAGGTCATATGCGAGCATGAATTCAGGATATTTTTTTTATTATCGCTAAAAATAATTTGATTTTAAGAAATTCTAGGTAATTCTAAATTGTTTTAAAATAAGAAAATAATTTACTTTTATTTTTGTACAAAAAATTAATTGAAGTTTTCAAGAAATTTTTGAAATATGTCGGAATTTATAAATAAATTTTATATTGCTATTCTAAATTAGAGTAATGCTAAGAATATTAATGATCAAAGTGAAAGATTAGTAGCAACAAGGAATTTGAACGTATCGAATTATCCCTGATTTTTCAATGGTTTGCCCGCAGGTCGTGCGAGAAGGACAAGCTCATCAGTAACAGACTGGTGTTGTTCTAAAAAAATTTTACATTTGACAACATGAAATGAAAAACCCATTTCTAAAAAATTTTCGAGACTCCCAAAGTCGCTCAATTTAGAACTTCTTCCAGAACCAAACGCGTAGCATAAATTTGTCGAGATTATGTAAAGAGCAAACGTTTGATTCTTTATTCAATTTGTATAAACTCATGCATAGGCTTTTCGTAGGTTTGTTGCCAATTTGAGTAATCGAACTTCCAATATAAAAATGTTCGACGTCTTCATCATACAACAATTAT